AGACGGGGGGGTAGACGGGGGGGTAGACGGGGGGGTGAGTAAGAGAGGGTATAGGTGGTGAGTGAGAGAGGTGGTGGTGAGAGAGGGTATAGGTGACAGAGGGTATAGGTGGTGAGAGAGGGTATAGGTGGTGAGAGAGGGTACATCGATGAGTTGAGGAGAAATGCCTCCATGCAGAGCAAGGAACTTATCATTCAATACTGCTGTTAGCGGTAGACAATCAAAGCTCTGCATGGAAGCCTCGTATACTGAAAGGTTATACTTGTACTCGCACTCATCCCTAAAGTTGAAGAACGAGGTCATTTGTCGACATTCATGATTCCCTCGAAGCAACCAGATCTTTCGAGGATGACACAACTTGAGCGCGTAGAGGACCAACAAAACTTCTATACTAAAACTTCCTCGATCCACATAGTCCCCCAAAAACAGGTATTGGACACCATCATTGTCAGGATCGCCACCGATCTCCAATAATCTTATCAGATCAAAATACTGACCATGAATGTCACCGACAACTACAACATAAAATAATCTCCCCAGTTGGAGTACCATTAAGATAGAGGAGGCCATGCCCATGACCGCCCATGATAGCATGACCGCCCATGATAGCATGACCGCCCATGATAGCATGACCGCCCATGATAAGATGACCGCCCATGATAGGATGACCGCCCGCACAGGTTACTTAGTCGTACCGGTAATTGGATCTTGTAGAGTTAGTAAGTTGGGTTCAGCGCTAAGAATGGATGTAACCCTATTGATCAGTAACAGACAATCAGAAATAGACAGCCTTCCTTCCTTCAAACAGTGGGCCCTTAGCGCTTTCCAGTCCGGTTTCTTGTCAGATCCTTCTGGCCAAAGTATCTACGGATGAAACGGCTACGTGAAACGGCTACGGATGAAACGGCTACGTGAAACGGCTACGTGAAACGGCTGCACAGAGGGAATAACTGTGCGAGGTTAGAACAGACTTACGGCCGGTGAAAGAGGGTGCTGAGGCGGTGCTTCCACTTCCGGCACCTGACGGTCATTCAGCTGCATTTTACAGAAAAATCTCGATGGGACTAGGGGTTGACAGCGATGACGAATCGCGCTCTATTTCGCCCAGGGCTGCCTCCAGGGCTGCATCCAAGGCGGCCTCCAGGGCTGCATCCAAGGTGGCCTCCAAGGTGTTGAATGACGCCAAAAGAACTCACGCCAGAGACACCACCAACAGACGACTTGGCACAGCACTAGCAAGACAGGTCAACGGGATGCCCAGACTTGCAATGGAGGCGGACCTTGCTCCCGCCAAAAAGGCCACTACACAGGATCGTACGGCGTTCTCCCGCAACGCCGACAAACACCAGGGACTACCCAAAACAAAGTTGGCTAAAGCGAAGAAACCCTCCCAAGCCACTACAGCCAAGGTCACTCCCGCCAAGTTCACTCCAGCCAAGGCGGCCCCAGCCAGGGGGACAGTAGCCAAGCGGACCGGAGCCAAGGAGACCGCAGCCAAGGTCTCTCCAGCAAAGGACACGGTCCCGATCAAAGCAGCCCCGGTCTCGGCGGCGAAAATCGCTCGATCCGGTCCTGTCAAGTCGGCTCAAGACAAGTCGGTTCAGACGAGGGCGATTCAAGTCAGATCGGCTCAAATCAGGTCGGTTCAGCCAAAGGCACAAACCGCATTGCACGAGTCGAATCAGAAGGCTAATACTGCTCCTTCGTCGGTAGTGGGAAAGAAGACTCAGATGAGGCGCAGACCTTGGGAACAAATACACGAAGAAAATTCGTCCTCGCCAAGTGAGGTTTCCTCTTGTGACGATGGGTCCTTGTTGAGCCAGGGGCTAGGTGGCCATAGAAGCCATTCGTTGGTCCTGATGCTGTCTGAGGAGGAAAAGAAGGAATCGGATCCGACCATATCGGGGCGTGTGCCAACGGAGCAATCGTCGGAACATGCGTTCGAAGCGGCCAAGGGCGTCGTGCGTTCTGGAGATGTCCGTAGCGCCGCCGCTGCCGGACGCAGAGGCGCCCGCTACAAGAGGCAGCGAACCCGGCAGATGATTGATGCGGGCAAAAGACTGAGAGATTCCCCCTTGGACTCAGACCAACTGGACTCCCCTCCAGATCCGTTGGGCGCGAAAGGACTCGACTCCTACCGCTCGGAAAGTGAGTCAGTGGGGGGCGACTGCGACCGGGTAGCGCAAGGTGGATGCGAAACACCGGGGTTTGAGAGCGACGGGCCGGCTGACCAAGGGAGTTCGGAGCGGGAAGGAAGTGAGGCAGACGGTAGGAGTGACGAAAGGGATGACGCAGACGGTAGGAGTGACGAAAGGGATGGGGCAGACGTTAGGAGTAACGAGCGGTCTTCTGTCTCTGAGAGGTCTCCGGTTGCTGAGGGAGAGTCGTTCTTTCCTTCAAGCAGCTTGGACAAGTGGGAGGCGGCGCCGTTTGCTGGTCTGCAATCGGTGTCTGGGACTGGTGATGAGGGCAGGCTGGGTGGGGCAGTAGTTGATGGGTGTGTGGCGAGATTCAATGAGCAAGTGCGTGCGACTGAGATGGCTGAGATACGTCGTTTCGTCGAGGAGAATCGTCGCGGTCGTCGGCCCTGTGGGAACCTCTCTGGTCGCGTGATGATTGTGGAGGGTACGACTGGTACGGGCAAAACGAGTACCATCGACTGTCTTTTAACCAAATATGGCGAATGGGGCTGGAGGACAGCCAAGGTACACGGCCGCAGTGAGTCCGGTAAACTAGAGGACATAATAGAAACTTTAGTGGCGACGTACAGTCAAGGCAACCGACCGGTGTGGACACCAGCCAAAGTTGGTAGCATAATGAAAACGGTGTTTAGTCGACCACACAAGGTCGACAGTCGCCGCTTTACTTTTGGTGCTGGAGCTGGAGCTATTTCCGCCGGAGCTATTTCCGCCGGAGAGAATGGTGGCATCGAGAATGGTGGCATTGGGAATGGTGGCATCGAGAATGGTGGCATTGAGAATGGTGGTCCTGAGAATGGTGGCGATGGTGGCATTGGGAATGGTGGTCCTGAGAATGGTGGCCTTGGGAATAGTGGTTTATTACGATTGAGTGAGTTAATGGAGAGTGGCTGTTCGCTGATAATTTTTGTAGATGAAATGGATATGTTGGATCGTCTATCCAAGAACTACTACCACAGCGAAAACTGTTTGCGACAGCTGTTGTACTTGTGTGAAGCACACTTGCACAATGCTCTGTTGATCGGTGCTACAAATGACCCGGGGTTCATAGCATGTCTTAGTCGTAAATACAGTGTGGAGAGAATTCGTTCTGTTAAATTCGATCACTATACTTACGAACAAATGGTTAGTATAATAAAGTCGATAAACCAAAACGTTAACACCGATAATGCTGGACTACAATACGGCATACGGAAAATTGCATCACAGAAAGGCGATTTCCGCCAAATCCTCGACCTTCTATTTAGGGCGGACGAGACTGAAACAACTTTTAAGACAACGAAATCGTCCAAATCTTCATCGTTCGCTGAGGCAACAACATCCGCGACATCTACGGTAACCCATGACCAGTTTAATGTGTATAATAAGACTAGCACCAAATTGGTGGACCACGGACTAGTCGAGGGAGAATCTTCCGGACCGGGAACTGCGTTAAATGAATTGGCCAAAATCCAAGATCTGCTGGGGAAAGAATACAAGACGGATATCATGAGGGTTGTGGACACAATTCAAGAAATACCCATTTTGTACCAAGAAATATCGGCAAGTATAATGATTATAGTTAATAAGAATAGATCACACATGAATTTGGACATTAATTCGATATACAATCTGTACCGTGATATGTGCTCTCAAATGGGTAATGAGTATGTACCCTTATCTTCCTTTGAAAACTGTCTTACTGTCCTGCAGATGCAGCAGATAGTGAAAAATCTGACATTGTGTACACCGATGACCTCATCCGTACGAAAGCGGAGTAGAACTCCCGCTGGCAAAACTCCTATGAGCAGGTCACGGCCTCCCATCCTTAAGGCCATTGACAATGCCGGAAAGGTAGACTTTGTACTCAACGCGCGGCAGGCGGCAGTAGCCTTCAATAAACTTAAAGCCAAGAGGGTCTGCGGCTTTACTCTGCTGAGTATATCAGATGAATATTTCGATGACTAAATACCATATGGCGCGCGATGGTTCCCACTCACCACTACTCCGTTTCGCACCGGGCTGCCGCCTACCACCCCGGACATCACTTGGTACCTCGAACCTGAACTCGGACCTTTTTTCGACAGCTGCTGGATTTGAACCAACGCGGGCAAAGCCCAGTGGATTTCAAGTCCACCCCCTTAACCACTCGGGCAAGCTGCCACCTAGTTTGGGGGACTCCGCGACTGTGCCTGGGCTTAGAGTGTTCTTGCGTTCCTTATAAGGAGAAAAAGGATATGTCAGGAAAGTCCAGGATCCTGTTTTGATGGCCTACAGTAATTGGTTCCACTGTGAGCTCGTTGGTCGATTCAAGTACCGACGACTTTGTACAACAGGGCTCTGCGGAAACCTGCCCGGATAATCTACACCACTTCGTCAAGGCGGTTGCAAGATGAACGTTTCGGTCAACGAGCAACTTATTTTGAGGGCTCCATTGGATACACTTTGGCCGCTGCATGTTCTCCATATTACCTGGTGACTGGAGGCTGTGATGAGTGCCTAGAATACCGCTGGAAATTACTCTGTTAAGGGAGTGTATGTTGGGTAGCGTTGATTCCGCGAGAAATTGCCTCATCAGCTCTTCGTCTCCGGCTTGTATGAGGTCTTCCACTAGCTCCGAACCAATTACCGTGTCCTGCTGGATCTGTTTGCGCAACGAGTCCAGTAGCATCCGTTTCAGCGCTATATTTTTAGTCTTGAGGAAGCAGGTCCTGGAAATCTTCCGGATGGCGCCGGATTCGGTCAGCAAAGCATTGAAGTATTGCGGGTCAACGGCTATTCCGTTGTCTCGGATGTCGTTGCCCCCTTCAACATCGTTGCCTTGATGCCTGGCAGCAATAGCGGAATGGCTGGTGGTACAGCATTGTTCCAAGACGAGGAGAAATGTGTGCACGAGCGGAATGTTTCTCTTGCTAATCGGGACGTATTGACGCAGCAGGTCACAACTGTTATTGACAACGAGTGCTTGGTCCAGAGGCGCAGCATTCAAGTTGTTGGCGTTGTAAATGATCTTGGCGAGGATCATAAGAGCGCTGGTGTGAATATTGGCGTCGTGTGTCATCAGCAATTTGCCCGACAATTTGAGGACCTCTTGGAAACACTGAACTGTGAACGGCTGCATGTCAGCCAAGGCATTGGCCACGGCCAGCAAGCGAATGCTACTGGGGCTGTCAAGCATACGGAAAAACAGCTTCTCACATTTGAGGCCTACCCGCATATCGGACCCAGCCAAAAGCTCCAACAACTTTATCGCGTGGTACTGCACTCCCACTCCAGCTTTCCCGTCAGCCAAAAGGTTGTATATTCGGGGCGCAAACACCAAGAGGCATGATCTTGCTGTGGACTGAGCCGTGTCCGCAGCTTGAACAGTTGCTGGTTGAACAGTTGCTGGTTGAACAGTTACTGACGCCATCGGCCTATGGTTGGCAAGCTTTATCATAACCTCCAGGGTCACCCGAATGGTGTCTTCGTCATCGCTTTCTAGCCCCTTCGTCAACATTGGGATCACAGGCTCGATAGCCAAAACCCCCAACTTGACAGCCTGCAGCAAGGAAATCAACACCCGTCGTAGGACCTTGGTGGCAGAACAGCTCCTTCCCACACACAGGACAGCCTCTTTGCAACTCTCGTGAATGGTCTCGATCGGCAGGTTGGCCAGACATGACAACACTCCCACCAAACTCTCCTTCCCAGGACCGTTTTGGATCGCCGTGATTTTCTTCAGCAGAGTGTTTGTTATCAACAGACTCAAGTCATCTCTTCTAGCGCCACAGACGCATGCAAAAAATTGGCGACAAGCATGCTAACAAAAACTTGGTTAGATAACCGTCGCGGTACTTACTTCCACCTCAACGTTCGACGTGTTGTTGATGATGTTCATCAGGACAATTTTAAGCTTCTCGTGGAACTGAGCATCTGCTCTTAGCGTGCCTCGTTCCAAGTGGTACCATAAAGCATACAGATTGACCAACGTATACTCTTTTGGTGATTCAATGTTGCGCAACAACTGCTGCGTAGATGCATTAATCAAATGATGGAGCGATGAGCGTTCCCAGTTATCGCATAGGGCAGAGTACTCCCTCAACTGACTTTCGATCGTCACCGACATGATTGCACACGCGTGTGCTACTCAATTTTATGCGGGTCATTTGGACGGTCCATCGCACACGCGTGTGCTACCACCCGTACGCTTTCCTTCGACTCCGGATTTTGCTGCTGCTGGTTCATTTCAAGGTTGGCGGTACCGGCAACGGTTTGGCCAGCAGTTGGCACAGCTTGATCCGCGGGGTGGTTCTCAGTAGCTGCGTTTAGTCTATCGAGCAGGTCTGGCCTTCTGCGCAAAATGTCCTTTTTCAATAGCGCGCACTTGGCTTCCATGGGAACGGCGGGATGGAAGATGTCTTCCAGGTTTATATTTTGAGTTACTTGTAAGTGCTGGGCTGGCTGAACTAGCTCAACGGGAATGGAGTAGTAGCAGTCTTCTTGTCGAGGTTTGCTTTGGCCGTGAGAGCTATTAGTGGCATAGCCCGGCGCTGGAACGAAGGTTGGGAAGTTTTTATTGGTTCCGGCTAGTCTGAACGCGCCTATTTCGATCTGGTCTTGATTTGTGGGATCGATCACAAGTGCTACCCAGGGATCCATATGAGTTTGGTATCGCCTTTGGGTGTCGATGTCTATACCGGACAGCCAGCACTTGTACCCTGGGTGAGTATGGTACCAGCCGACTGCCGAGATCTTGCAGCCCATCTGCTCCAGTTGCATGGAGTAGTTGACCAGCCATTCATCCGTAGAGGCATCTGCAGTGATTCGCGTATCCGTGCCCTGGACAGGCAACGCCACCGCATCAATAATTTCGAAAGTCTGAGGAGAATGCTTGCCAAACACAATACCCATTACCTCCTGCTCGCCTCCTTTGTCCGCGTGCTCGATCATCTTGGTCATAGCCGCTGCTGATACTCGGACCACCTTGTATATGTCTTCGTCACTAGCTGCATGATTGTTCCGCATAGGAATTCCTGGAACCAGAATTCTCGACCGGAAATCACAGACAAGAATTCGGGCTGCGAAAAGATGTGGCCTGACACGGGCTGGTTATTCGCCTAATAACTGTGCCAAGCGTGTTATTGTCAAAACCAAAGGGTTAAATCAATGAGCAAAAAATGTTCAACACGGCTGCACCGGCAAACTCGCGTGAACGGCTAACGCCATGACCTCGACTTGTGGTCGACTTTGCAACCTGGACTTCGTATGAATTCCAAGGGAGGTTCCTTCTTCCTATCTTAGAGGGCCGCGACGGTGGTCATGGTCAGGGCTAGTACCGTAAGCGCAACGGTGCTGGTTGCGTGGCTGGCGCTGGCGGGTTCAAACGCGAGTTCATCAGGTCTAGACACTGCGATTTGTTTGAGTACGGCCGCAAGTCTGTAGCCGCCGAGTGTAACTCTCTCCTGACTCAGTTCGGAGCACCAGTCGATGTATTCGTCCGTAAGTGCGAGAGTCAGATTCTTCTTACCGTCGCTGTTTGGTGTACTAACGAGCATAGTAGAAGGATACAGTCTCGCGTGGTCGTTTTCGCCAAACTTGATTTGTTGGTCTTCTACTCTGCCTGAGGTGGCAATAAGCAGGTCTTCGTGCAGAACGGTTTCCGTTCCGGTCTCCCAGTCCCAGCCTAGGTCGACCTTCTTATCTTTAAAGAATTGCGTGGGGAACCTTGCAATCAGTTTGTCAGCTTCGTCATCAATCTGGTCAAGCGTTAGGTCCGTGGCATCCCACTGTGCGTATTGGCACATCGAATCCCATAGCCCGTGCAGATTGATCGAATCAGCCATGGCCTTGTAATTCTTAACGTTAGTCCAATCTAGCCCGATACCATTTCCACCAGCATCATTTTGGGTACACGGCACTGTGTCATCTGTGGCGCCACAAAGGGCGGGATCAAACAGGGCAATACCATGCAAAGGCTGGTGCAGATCACCCACCAGATGTGTAATGAGGCGAACGGCAAGGTCTTGAGACCATAACGTCCCACGGTTCGCATCCAAAACTCCGCCATCCGGATTGATTACGACCTTCATCGCCTCATTCAAGGTCGTATACCCATTCACATAACTAACGTTATGTAACAATGTCTCCTGCAAACTCGTCCAGGTCGCCTCTTCAAATTGCTCATCAGGCCCGTACAAGCGTATCGGCTGGTCTACGAAGTGGATGTTACTAAACACTCCGTTCCCGTCGCACCGCGTCTCCCCCTCGCAGCGCTCACTTGTAGTCTCCTTAATCTTGTCAGCCCACGTCGCTACACGTGGCAACGAAGAATAATCAGCCCAGACCGACGCCTCACGCAACAACATGTTATCCACTGTCGCAATCACATCGCTCGCACCTCCCTGCTCCAATAAACGCTTCGCAACCGCTGCAACCAACGTATGTCCACCATCCCACCACCCAAGTGCCCCTACAAAACACACCGCCAAAATCTTCATCCTCAACCACCAGAGGGAAAAAAATTCGCGCCCTAAAATATCGCGATCGATCCTGAAGCGTGCGACACACTTCACACACACTTCAAGTGGGCACGAATACACCCACCCACTCATGGCCACTCATGAGACGAAGATGGTCGGGGACTCACTCGTTCCTGAACGACTTGTCCCAACAAAAAACAGTTATTGATGGAAATGATTGTACGCCATTTCATAGTCGTCAGTAAACACTCCCTGACAACCCATGGCGACCGAATCTTCCAATGTCCTGAAACGAAGAGCTGTCCATGTCGTCAGGTATGTGCAGCGATGCAGCCATGTCATAGTGACGCAGCCGGTCGGTCAGCGCGGTTGTGTGTGTAGCTAGGTCTGTGTTGTGTTGCTTACTGTCTATCATTGATTGTCCAAGCGTGCAGCTGAATATTTCTGTTGGAGATCTCTTCAGCAAGGTCTGGGTGGGCTCGGAGTAGGTTCAAGTCAGGACCCAGGATGTCTGCGATGCAAGTGATATCAACGTGTCGGTCGTTCGTGGTCCAGAAGGAAGAGAGGTGTTGCTCTCGGTTGACGCAAGGCATCTCGGCGCTGCACGTGTCCAGGTCGTCGGTTACGGCGTGTGCGGAGCACACATGTTCGTCCGCACACGAGTAAAAGATGCGCGACTCGATTTGCTGCAGCTCCGACGGACATTTTTCGTACCATTCCTGATCCGTAATCCGCCTAGCGGAAGCCACAACAGTGGACATGTAGCCCATGCCCAGGCAGTCCTCACTACATATCTCTTCGCAGTTACCGCTCAGCCGAACCCAAACTGCCGACATCATCTCCAATCCGTTGATGCGTCCCACCGTCTCTCGTCCCACCGTCTCTCGTCCCACCGTTTTTCGTCCCGCCGTCTCTCGTCCCACCGTGTCTTCATGGATGCGGGTTCCTGCGGCGACCGCGCCAACTTTTTCTATGGCAGTAACCTCGACCTCGATGGGGCCAGTAACCTCGGCCTCGGTGGGGCCAATCACCTCGATAAAATCGGCGGGAGGTAGTTTACGAAGGACGTGGTCGTGGGTAACATGACTGGTCTCGTCCAAGAGCGCAACGAGACAAATGTTTGTGTAAAAGCCAACTCGTTTTCGAAGCCGAACAAGGTCGGGATATTCGAAAGTTTGAAGGTATATTGGAAAGGGAAATTCAAGGTCGTCTCCTCCATATTCTTCGAGCAGCACCAGCAACTCGTAAATCAAGTCAATATCTCGACGACTGGCGTGCCACATTTGATGTTTGATTTCCAGGTAGAGTCCTACAGGTTTGTCCACTGTCGAGTATTTGAACGCGAGTTTGATGAGATCTCGCACACGCGCCAGGCTCTCTCGAGGCACGCTGTTGCATTCCGGGTTCAACGTAGAACAAGCCGCGGATACTCTCTTTATTACTCGCCACGGATAGTCAGGTATATACCAATCTAGAATTGCAGCTAAAACATAACTGTGAGCTATCACTTGATTGACAAGACGTACGGAGTTCGATAAGTTGATCGCCGTGGTGTGCTTCGTATCTTACAGCTCTTATATTTCTTACTGCTGCTGACTAGAGTTTCTCCATCTTGGTTCATAATGGGATCCAGAATTTGAGTTGTCTTTTCCTTTAGCTTCTTTAGCGCTCGTGGTGAGGGAGTTCCAACACGTCCTAAGTCGGGGGAATGGGCGCAAACCAATATGCCATCACTAGTTGTAGTCACGTCACATTCCAAAAAGTCTACCTTACCAGACTTCGCGGCAGTTTCATATGCCGCTTTACTTGACTGTCTGTGCCTTGGGGTGCCGCCTCGGTGGCCGATAATCAATGGAATATTACCTGAGTGACGGCATCGTGGGTTACTCCATGCCCATGCCGAAGTAGCAACCACCAGAAGCAAGCGTAGCAGGACTATTTTGGTGATGTAACTGGACGCTGGCGCCTAGGCCTCAAGCCAATTATTATTCTCTATGCTCTCCGAAGCCTTCCCTCACGTACCACGACAAGATATTATACAACTCGTGCAAGACTACCTACTGTGGGGGAAACTGTCTCACGGCGCTCATACTGATACGGAATCTATTACTGATTTGGTAACACGCATTTTGTTCCGAACTTGGACTACACAAGATGGTCAATGTGCAGAGCACCTTGGGAACGAGGCCGCGTATCAGACGGGGAATCACATGGGGAATCAAAGGAGGACCAAGAGTCAGGAATTAGTGAGTCAGGAATTAGTGAATCAGGAAACCGAGAATCCGGAGGAAAGGGGGAATGAGGAGCTTGAGGAGGTGCTGGAGGGAGTCAGGTGTAGATTGATGCAGATGCATTCCAGTCGTAAAAATGTGTCGGCACGTGAGGGTATATCAGAGGAAGAAGTCTGCAACCATGATTGGGAGTTTTTGCATTGTTGTAGACAGTACCTGGATTGCCATCTGAAAATAGTTTTTGAGGACGAACGCTTTGTGGCTGTTAACAAGCCATGGGATTATAGGATCGACTTAAGGACAGGGGATGCGCCTAACTACATAGGGGAACCTACCTTGGCAGCTTGGTTCCAAAATCGATATGGTTACCCAGTGAGATTCTGTCATCAACTAGATTACGCAACGTCAGGAATTCTATTAATGGCCAAAGACCGGAAAAGCTGTGGCGCTGTTGGTAAGAAATTTGTAGCGAGACAAGTAGAAAAATTATACAGTGCTATTCTACTCGGTGAGCCTGATATTACTCGGGTCAGTCAACCAGCGGAAGAAGATGCTCAACTGCCAGATGGTAACAGTGTTTTACTTTCCTCCTCAGGGTGGCAGAGGGTTGAATTTGATTTAAAGGAGGACGGGTATCGTATGGTTCTCTGTGGCGACCGAAAAGAAAGTGGCGCAAAAGATGACGTAAAGAGCGATGACTGTAAGGGACAAGATGATGACTGTAAGGGACAAGATGATGACTGTAAGGGACAAGATGATGACTGTAAGGGACAAGGTGAGAGCGGGGCCAAAAAAGGGGTTAGCCATGCTTGCACTTATATGAAGATGATTCGACGGGGCAAGCTAACTGGTGAATGGTTTGAAAACGATCGCGGTAAAACCGTGACTCATGTTTACTTCAGACCAAAGACCGGAAGACGCCACCAGCTGAGAATGACCGCCTGGCTTCTTGGTGCACCCATCTTGGGAGATATGGTCTATGGAAATAGGATATACCAACAAGCCCCTACCGGCCAACCGCTTTATTCAGAGATGATGCGGACCCATGCAAGATCATACCGAATGTACCTTCACGCCAAATCGTTGAGCATGAAGCTGCCATGGTACGAGTTGAAACTCAACACCGATATCGACCCGTTACTGAACGACGGAGCAATTCAATGGGATTAATAGGGACTCAGTAGGACTCGGACTCAGTAGGACTCGGACTCAGTAGGACTCGGATTCAGTAGGACTCGGATTCAGTAGGACTCGGATTCAGCAGGACTCGGACTCAGTAGGACTCGGACTCAGTAGGACTCGGACTCGGACTCAGTGGTATTAGGCGCTCGCTCTTTTCCAACATGGGGCAGTACCTCGTTCATCCACCTCGTTCATCCACCTCGTTCATCCACTTCGTTCATCGGTGCTTGAAAAGGATTTCCCTTAGACGCCTAGAATCCGTTTGAGTAGTCATATGAGCGACCGGGGGAGGCGGCCGTCGACCCATGTCCCGACCTGACCCGTAGTTCCTTTCTCTGAGAGGGGGTAGGGCAGCAGGACTATAGCCTGGAGAGATGCCGGTCCCAGGAGAGTCCGGGCATTCTGTCGTGTAAGTTGACCTAAAACCGTAGCCAGGTGGTAGGTGGTCGGAGGTGGTCGGAGGTGGTGGGAGGTACTTTGGTTGCGGAGTTGTGGTCATGAGAGTGGGTTTTTTCTGATATACATCTTCAAGGTACGCTTTGAGTTTGTCCATGGTGAAGTTGGTTGAGGCTTGGTATAGTCGATCTAATGCGGTTTTTTCGTTGGCCAAGCATGCCAGGTATACTTCGAGATGAGCGCTGAGTTTATCGAACAAGTATTCGTCTGCTAGTTGTGCTAGTACAAGTAGACATGAGATGGTATCGTGTACAACTTTGGTAGCGAAAGGTAGAGGTACGTTGGGCTTGCCGTTGAGAACATTATTGTAGTTATGGGTCATGGCGAACCATACGAGGACGGCCATTGACTGTCTGTCGGTTTCGGGGAACTCTTGTGACCAGTTGGCTTTGGAGTTGGCGACGAGCAAACAAGTGGGCAAGTGGTATGAGTAGAAGAGCGTAAGAAAGACCTCAAAACAAACCGGGGTGGCGAAATGGGAAGCTTGTAGTCGTGGTCGTCGAGGCCTTTCTAGATGAGGTGTGGGCAGATAGGATGATTCCGAACCGGCTACTAACGAATTGGTGTGTGCTGCGACCATGGTAGCCAGACTATTGGTCGACAACTCGCCCACCGTACGTCGATCGGGCGCACTCCGCAGGGCCGCCGTCCTGGCCACGCCAGCCCGCTGGATTGCGGTAGCCGCTTTGGCGGTCGCAATTTTAAGTGCTTGAAACGAGCTGCAGAAGTACTCAGATTTGCCCGCCAGAATGACCATGTGCGCAGGCAAGATCACTGAGTCAGGCCCGCCGCACTCGAACTCAACATCCGCAAGAGACTCGTCAATGGCGAACTGGATGCACCCAAGTGTGTCAAAACAGCCCATTGGACGGGTAAATATGAAGTCACGATCCGGCGACCGAGTGAAACCCGTGGTGGCGTCAATAGAGATGATGCTGCAACCGCCAATGGGCTCTTTATGGACAGTATCGACACCGCCGACCACCAGCACCTTGTTGTCCACCAGACACACGTCATGACCCACAATGCCGTTAAAGGAGCCCTCAAGACACGTCACCTTGACGAAATCCAAGTGCGTTCCTCCCAGGCGCTGGTCCGTTCTAGTGGGGTCCGTTCTAGTGGCTGCGTTACCGGTACCGGTAGTGGCTGCAGCATTACCCGCGGTGGTTGCTGCATTACCCGCCGGGGTTGCTTTACCGGTGGTCTTGTTGTCCTCGAGTATCTTTTCGACATCTGCGATCAAAAGGGGGGCACATTCGGCGTCATTCGGGGTCTTTCCTCCTATTAGGAAGACACACTTCATGCGCGGGAGATACTTGAGCTTGGCCCCTGTTCGACAACCGACTAAATCTGAGACGGTCAGCATGACCCACCTCTCATCCTTGTACAACCACCAGTCATCAAGGATACCGCTCGCGTTCCATCCACCACCCAACAGCAAAGCAGGTCCCGGCAATACACAACCACAAACGCCCGTTCTCTCTGGGGGCCACGCTTCTGTTGTGGTTCCCGAAAGAGACACTTGGCGACATATTTTGCGCCAAACTCCGTTTCTAGTGTTAAGGACCCATAAATCACTATTGTGATGGATACCATCTCCACCTCGATACAATATCAACTGCAGCAACACGATGTGTCCGTGTGTCCGTGTGTGTCCGTGTGTGTCCGTGTGTGTGGATGATTTCGTGTTCGTTTACGCTATCATCCGTCCACTGTTCCAATACACCAAGGTTTACAGTACAAGGAACATCTCCTTTGAATACAGGCATATGCCAGGTGAATGTGGCCGAATCGAGGAACCAGAAATCGTTGTATAAAGGACCTTGATCCCGACCTCCCCATCCTCCGAAAATCAGGAGGCCTTGCACTGCTGAACATGTTCCCGAGACAGATATTGATGGCAAAACGCAAGCATGCAAGGTCGTATAAACGCCAGCGTGCCCGCTTCTTCTCTTCGGGCCAAAGGCATGGGGTTGCTTGTATAAAGTTGTTAAACCCTCGTTAGGCGAGAAGACCAAGAAATGCAAGGCAAACGTAGCTCCAACACCACCATAGATTATACAAGATGAGTTCTTGTAGGCAGACACAACATGATGCTTCCTATTCAGCAACTCACCATTAACTCTTTTCACCTTAACCAACAACCCTTTCAGACCCATTTTCAATGATCCTTCGCCCTTCTATCTCGCATTCTAAAAGGGCTTTTTTTGGGGTTCAAAGCTATCTAACTATTTAATCAAATGTTAACTCAATCCAAGAGCCCGCCCGATCGATCAAACTCTTGGAGAGTCAGTGCAGCTCGAGAGTCAGTGCAGCTCGAGAGTCAACCATTAGTACATCTCCTGGGTCAACCATTAGTACATCTCGTTTAGAGAAACCTGCAGCTAGTTTAATTTCTCCTTGATAGTTTGCATGACTTCAATTGTGTTCTTTGAGAGGTTTGGTTTCTGTAGAATCCGTTTGACCTCTTGCAATCCCGCCTTCTTGAGTTCATCCGTAACCAATACAAGTTCCCCAAAGGCATTTGCCAGACCAGCGGCAAGCTTCGGATTGAATTCATCCCAGCGTAGTACTTCGTCAGCAACGAGTTTGTATCCAATGGGTTGGTGGAATGCAAGAGGATTATTGGCAAAACTGCGGCTGAGTGCTCGTAGTCGGTTAGGGGTGGTGGAATTAGCATAAAGCGGAACTTGCTTAAGAGTCAAATACCGATCAGCACACTGTCGATTTGGCCATGTCATTTGAGCACTAAGCCAACGATCGACGAGCAGGTCATTCTCCTGATGTTCCATCAGCCAGTTGCTTAAGAGAACGCGCACATCCATGCTATTTGTAGATGCCGATAACGCAGCCATAGCTGCCGACTCGTCATTCGACTGCTTCTTGTTCAATAACTGTCGAACACCAAGGTACGTATTGCTCTCATCCAGCAACAGCAATCTTAGTAACGCATTCTTCAAACTACGACGCCCTCTGGCCTCCACACTGTGGTCAGCACCGACCTGGACAGTTGCTTCCCCAATCGTACCTGCGACAGTAAAAGTGGGCGTAATTGTAGAGGTAGGCGCGTTCGTAGACGTAGACGTACCCGTCGAGCTGTAGGTACTAGTAGACGTGTACGTACTGACTGAGGTAGTACTTGACGTAGCTGTGCCAAGTACACCAGCATCCGATGACACACCGGCATCAGTGTCCGAGCCCGGCATCACGGTGAGCGGCTCCTCTCTTTCCAAAGCCAGGTACGCGTCTCTGATCTCCTTTTCGAATCCTCTAAGCAACGCCTTACGGATAGCTCGCACCACCGTGTAGGCAGCATGTGGGTCGAAAGGCTTGAGGATGTTCTTAAGTTGCGACAACTTGGGTAATGAGAGAGTCTCCGCGAGCAGTCCTCTTTCGTTGACTCCGGCTTCCGACAGTCGTTTTACCAAGGACTTGAAAACTCGATATACGGCCGGCGAGACCTTCTTGCCCTTGCCCAACCGAGCATCGGGATTAAGGAATCGACTCACCTCGTTCGCCAACAGCTGGTTCGTCGACTTGTGTCGCACGTAGTAGTCTGTGTCGTGCATCGCCAAGAACGCCAAGTCCGAATCCGACTGGAACGGTGACACCACCACCGGAGCGCTGAATCCTCGAAGCAAAGAAACTACGGGGCGCTTCGTTGTGTCAGCCACCTGGAACTCGAACCGACTCTCCTTGTCCTTCAACACTACCAATCTCTCCTTCATCAGCATCTCGTGTGTCTCCGCGTCGAACAAAGCCATACGAATCGGAATCACCAATGCCGGCCGGGCTGTACTCGTCTTGCCATCTGTATTCTGTCCAACTGTGTTCGGCCCAATTGTGGTTGTGCTGGAAGATCCCTTACCGCGCGAGCCAGCTGGGTCTTGGCTAAGTGTGATGGAGAAGGTGCCGTTTCCGTAGAAAACGTCCAAGACTTCAACCACGGGGGTGCCCGAGGTGTTGTACCACAAGAAGAACTGGTCCAGATCCTCTTCAGTGACCAGCGCGTCTGACTGTGCATCTGGGCGCTCGTCGTCTCCTTCCAGTTCCACGCCTTCCAATTCTGCGACGAGTTTGAAGCTCGGTCGTTTCTTCGTCTGCGTGTTCGATCTTGACTCGGCCGTCCGTCCGATCGTCGTTTTTCCCGTAGTCACCCGCGCAACGGACCGGAGACTGGCTTCATCCTGCAGCCCATGCACCGCCGTCTTCATGGCGTCTCTGAAGTCCTCACATGTTGCCGCTGTGAAGTCGTTGTCGCGGAAGAACAAGTCGCACCCTCTTCGGAACCTCTGCGGACCCATCAGCGTCTCATACATACGCACCACCTCGGCCCCCTTCTCATACACTGTGAGTGTATATAAGTTCTCAACACTAGAGTAACGATTCGGCCGGATACTGTGCGACAACGCACCCGCATCTTGCGTGAATTGCACACTCTCCATGACCTCGATATCCCGCAGCCGTTTCACAGACATCTTACTACTCCCTTTCCACCCCAGGTCCTTCGACCTCACCTCCTTTGCCTCGCCCGTTAACCGCTCTTCCTCCCCTTGGTCGTGCGCTTTGTCGTGCACGTGGTCTCGCACCTGGTCGGGAGCACATTGGCCGTCGACCTGACTGTCTTCGTCGTCACTCCCTCCAGCACTGCCTCTCGCATTCCGTAGGTCGCCGGCTCGACACTCGCCGACGGCATTCAAAGCTTTGTTCACGTCCGAGCCCGTGTCGTGGGTCGCGTCTTGGGTAATGTCCTGAGTAAATAATTGATCGCGGAAGACGGTGAATCCTTCCTTGAGGGTTAGTTGGAACCAGTCGCGCACAGTCACTCGGTCGCCACTCCAGTTGTGGAAGTACTCGTGTGCAAGGACTCCACGGATTCGTTCGTACTGGTCGTCCGTCGTGAGGGCGGGGTCGGCTCGGATCAGGGCTTCATTGAAGATATTTAGACCCTTATTCTCCATAGCACCTGCATTGAAGTCGCGACAAGAAACCACGTTAAATTCACCCAAGTCGTAGTATCTCCCGAACCGTACCTCGTCCCACAGCATCGCGACCTCCACCGACTCCAACGCCCATTCCAACTGTGCCAAAGGCACTCCCTCACTTTCAGCCCAAATGCGCACCGTCACGAAGTGAGGACACGGCGCCAACGAGGAGTCGCGTCCCACACGCCCACGTGGACAACGGCCCACATAGTCCGGAGCTCCACTCGGCGCCGCTGGTACCTGCGTCACGGCCGGCGTCGTAGACACCTCCTCTGTGTCGTCCAGCTTCGTCTTCGTCGAGGACACGCGATTCGGGTCCTCTGTACTCGTCGCCACGTCCAGCCACGTAGTTGCCGACCCGTCAGTCGAAGTCGAAACGGATGCTGCAGTCGAGACCGACGGGGGCACAGTGAAGTAGACCGTGGAGGCAGATGCGGTGGAAGAAGCGGTGGAGGTGGATGAAGTAGTCCTAACGGTGGAGGCAGACGAAGTAGCGCCGGCAGTGGACGCTGGGGAACGAGTACCCATCGTCGATGTCGTTGACGTAGAACCGACAGTTGACGTAGATGAACTGGTGCCAACCTCGGAGGCGGTTGAACTAGCTTCCACAGAACCGACAGTTGACGTAGAACCGACAGTTGACGTAGAACCGACAGTTGACGTAGAACCGACAGTTGACGTAGAACCGACAGTTGA